AAAGGTCATGGCTATATTTAGGGGCCTTTTATCTCATTTATGTTTTAAAACTCTGTTCCCAAGGGAACCACAATGCTCAATATTGTTAGACTAATGGAAATAGCAAAGTACTTTAGCCATCATAGTGTTAAATCTTTCTTTTTAACGCCTCCATTCATGAATATTTTATTTGTTAATATATACACCAAAGAAGTAATCTGCATATGTATGTGTGAATTCGTAGCAGTGTTGCTTGTTCTTTTGCACAAGTAGACTTGTACCTTATTTATCAACATTAAAATGCTTACATTAAACAATAAAGTCATTGTAATGAAAAGTGTATTTCTCAAAAATGAGAAATGCACTGGTAGTTCTTGACAGCTTGTTTATAACCCTTTAGTAAACACATCAGTCCCATATAAGGTTATACATTTTTCACTTTTCCTCCTTACTCTTTTTCATAACAATGAGTTCAATTTTCATTGCAACCAATGGACAAGGCTGGATAATCCTAATTCACAAAACATATTAAGGGTTCAGAACAGTGGTTAGCTCCCTCTGAATACCTTATAAAAGGTTGCTATAATGCAAGCCTTACTTTGGTTGCAGGAGAAAGAAATTTATTTACAACTTCCTGAAGAGAAAAAAAGGAATTATCCAAAGGACATTAGTTTACTTCAGGAAATTCAAGAAATAATTGGACAACAAAGTTAACAGACAATTAAAGAAGTTTCTAGACCTTAAGAAAAATTTAGATCGAGAATTTAATACCATCAGGTCACTCTCTTAAATGCTCTTTTCTCACATCAGACTCATTCTGAGTACTGAATAGCTTTCTCAACACACAATTATTCTGTTCTACAACAAGTATGTCAACTTGTATATATTTACTCAAGTGAAATAAAAAGCTTATTTTACACAAATTTATTTCACACAAAAGTTAATCTATCAGGTTTAGTTACTCATAATTTCCTCAAATTGGAAACAGCTCAGTGTCTCTCAAGTTTGGAATGAAGAAGCAAAATATGATATATTCACATACTGGAATATTACTCAGCAATAAAATAACAAACTAAGATGAGTGCAACAATACGGTATGTCTTATGTGCATTTTACCCAGTGAACACCTGGGACTCAAAAGTCTATATACTGTCTATGCACTGTATTATACCATCTAGATGACTTTCTCATAAGTGCAAAACTATAAAGGCAGAAGGTGAATCAGGAGTTAACAGGGATGGAGTAGAAGAAATTCTCAACCATAGAGGAGAAACAAGACATTCGAGGGGATGTTGTAACTATTCTATATCTTTATTGTTGTGATGATTACAAGACTATAAATTTCTTAAAATTCATAAATTTTTCAAAGAACGTGACAAACATTGAAGACATGAAACATTACAGATGTTGTCTTGGAAATACAATCCAAGATATAGATCACAGGAGTACTTGAAATAAAAAGCCAGAGTAAGGGAACAGAACAAATACTGAAGACTCTTATTCAATAAAGATCGGCAACTACATAGTTTTAAAAAAGCACACATGTACCTGATAATTCCAAATCAGGGCTATTATTACTAAGGTCAATTCTAGCAAAGTAACTGGTCACTCAAAAAAAAATTCTTTGGGTATTTTTAAAAAGAGCACTTATCTTGAAAGGAAATTAGGTTATCACCAGACTTAACAGCAATGCTTCATGCCAAAAAAGAATATAATGATATTTTTGAGAATTTCAGTGGCAAAACATGTAGAGCAAGGATTCTATATCCAGCAAAACTGACCTTCAAATATAAACAACATAAGACAAAATATTATTAACAGTGAGGAATTCAGGAATGTTCTCATGAGCATTTTCTGGGAATGTATTAGATAAAGAATTCTACCAACCTAAATAACTAGATAAATAGCAACATAAGCACTGATGGTGTGGATTATATTTATAATTACATTTAGAACTAAAATGAAAAGAATATAATATGCAATTGTTTACATGTTCAGATTCTATAGATATATTTCAACTACAAAAATAGAAGCAAAGAATGAGGACAGTTTATTAAAAAACCACTTATACCTGTGTTCTATCATCATATTTATAGAGACCATATTAGTATTGTTATTCTGAGACTGTCATTTGTGTAACAAAAAAAAAGGAATTTCTGATATAATTCATATAATTCATTCACCTTACATGCTCTTGAGAAGAGATTAAGTAAAAAGTCTTCTAGTAGTGAAACTAAATTCAAACTGCCAATATAAACTTACAAAGTATATTATACTTAGACATGTATGTATTTAAAGGTACATATTTGTGTGGGGATTTTTTTTTTATTTCTTATTTTTTACTTTTTCGGTTTGCAAGTCTGCATATTTATTAGTATTAAAATGCCTAGAAATAGGAACTATCTCGAGATAAAGAAGCACTTTTAACACCTAGTTTTTCATCCACAAAAATAAACCAGAATTTGGTTTCTTGAAGAAAAACTGGTTCTAGAACTAAAATAAGAAACATGCAGGTAAGCCTGGAACATCTTGTCCCACCACATAGAAAATAAGTGATCAGAAACTTCCGGAATAAGGACAAAAATACTCAGAAGCCAAGCCAAATGGGAAAGGTTCTCACTGGTCAAAAATGGGATGGTTTGAGCATCATATGGATCAGAACACACCTATGTGTTCTCAGTGATAAAGAGAAAGGCCAAAAGGGGTTTAGGGAGATGACCAGAAATCAGTATCTTGAAAATCGGTAAATTAAAGAAAATACAGCACTTAAGCATCTGTGCTTCTTTCCTTATATACTACTTGCGCCACTGGGTAGCTACATAGTAGATCAAGGGAAGCATCTCTTCATAAATTTTTTCTAACTGACAAATGAAATAAAATACTAAAATTAAAATACCATCATTTTGCCACCTCTAATATATTGATTAATCCAGATAGTAAGCAACAATGACTGCTAATATGAGAGAGAGAACTAGAGACCAGAGGTTTTTCTTCAAGAAACCAAAAACACCAAGAACAAGTTTGCCTAAAGGATGAAACCTTAGCTACATCAAGTCTCTGGATTCAGCTGCCATCTACAGGAAATCACAGGGCAAAGTGACTGGGGAGGGCAAAGGAGGGAGATGCTGTATGCCCCTGATGTGCCCAAGTGTAGTGTCAAGACCTTATCCTTTGGATGTGGGTGCACTCACCCTAGCCAGGGTAACATCCATCACCCAGGCATTGCACTGCATTTTCTGTCCATGCCAAACCCACTACACAGTTTGCAGCCAGCAGTGAATAAATACATTTGTTCCTGGGCTGGAGCAGGATCAAGGACTTGGGTCAAGGATGAACATGAGCAAAAATTGCACAGCAGTACCCGGATGGCTCTATATGAAGAGTTAAGTGCCACATCCCCAAAAGGTGAGCTCTTGACCCCACACTCAGCAGTAAGCACCACTGACCTGTGGGGCGGTCTCAGAGACCCTTCTGTTCCATAGCTGCGCAGTAGGGACAGCGAGCCCACCCCAGAACCAATTTCCCCTCTCTGTACTTATCTCAAGTGCCTTCTGACTTTCCTATTAGTAGGAGAATATCAGAAATTTCTCAGATTTTCTGTTCCTTTTATAGTCTCTCTTCTTGTATCTCAGAGCAAATAGATTTACTCACTTACGAACTATATTTTCTACAGTCTAAAGCTAGAAAGAGCCACAGCATATGTACCCAGTCACGGTACATCTGATTTTAATTCTTTGAAATTGTCTTAAATTTTACAAAAGAAATGTATTATTCTAATGTCAAGTAAAAACTGTCAATCATACAAATTTCCTCTTTATTCCTTCCCCCGGGTCAGGGAAGTGTGCCACACGGGCTTTCCTTGTGGAGAACAAGCTGCAGGGAGTGGGACTGAAGGACAGTGTCCAGCCGCCACCGCTTTGCTCCCCCACAGCAGCCCGAGACTGTGCTTCACACCGACTCATCCCAACCAAGGACTGACCCCAACCAAAGAAGGGGCCTGGGTCTTGCTCTTTCTGCTTCAGACAGGACTCCTCTGGCAGGCCGTTTTAATTCTAAGACTCCTAAGTAGCCTGAGTAAGGCCTCAGAATTTCACTCTGGTCCATGGCTTTTCCTATTCACCCCTCCTTACTACACTCTCCTTTTTACAGATGTCATGACTACATAAACCCATGGTTTCTCCCTATTTCCTCTCATACTTTGTCCCCTATATATATTCTTACTGGACATTTTCTTCAAGAAACCTCTTGCGTTGTTGTTGCTGCCGTTGTTGAGGTACTGAGGATTGAACTCAAGACCTTCACACTGAGCTGTATCTCCAGCCCTTTCTTATTTCTCATTTTGAGACATGGTCTCTCTAATTTGTTAAACTTCCCAGGCTGGACTGGAACTTGAGATGCTCCTGTCTCAGTCTCCCAGAGGGCTCAAACTGTAGGCATGTGCTACCAAGCCTGGCATCTTCATGTCTATCTTTTGGAGGACCAACACTGAAATAAGCAGTAAGAATAGTGGTCTAAGAAACCTGAAAAAAGGAAAGAATCTGGAGACAGATTCACTTCCTCCCAGCTGGCAAGGAAAACCTCAGCCTGAGCAGAATCTGGCACTGATAGTCTCTGGCACAAAACAGAGGCTTGATTGTTGCAGATTTGGCTGATGATGATTTGGAAAAATATCCCCATAGAGGGCAATGCTACTTCCAGTGCAAAAATTCAGACATTCGTGGGACTGGGAGAGGCAGATAAGAGGTGCCAGTGCCTACAAGAACAGCAAAGTTGGCTGATACTAAGATTGAGTCCAAGCAAAAGGATTAAGAAAAACTGAGGGTAGTAACAATCAGTTAAAGGCTAAGTGGTGAACTAGAAGGTTCTTTTGGTCACCTACAAAGAGACCTTCATCTTCTGCAGTGAGAAGACTGGACAGTTTGAGAAACAGTGTCAAGACCTCATAGAGTTCCTGAGCTCCAAAGATGTTTAAAAGTTAAGCCAAGGGAATGATATACTTGGCAGCTGAGGCAGTCCCCACACTGGTCCCCGGCCTGTGAAGTAAGAGCTATCATATAAGGCTGCCTCTGAAAATTCACCCACTCAAGCCAAGGTGATAAACAGCAACAATAAAAACCTGATCTCAGAGTGCTAGCCTAAGAGAACTTTAAAATGCTGAGGGAATGGCCATTAATATATCATTGTTTAATCCATCACTATGCTCCTTAGAGAAACAGATCCTTGGGAAATGACAAAAGATCACCTCAATCTTAGCAGCAGAACCTGGCATAGTTTCACTGGTAATGCAGATTGGTAAGACGTCGGGTACAGAGTATGCAGTCATTGAGTTGATAAGTGCATTGTTTCCTATAGTAGACATAAAAGAGGATCAGAAGCAGTTTGTTATTCATGTGGAATAAACAATGGTATTCATTTACAGTTTTGCCCAGAGCTACAAGTAGCTCTATTACTCTGTGACAGAATATAGACTTTGAGACTTCTTACCCAAGTTTCATCAGTTTTTCAAGCACAAATGCTTCTCATACTGTTGCCTTCTATTCCTCAATATCCAGAGTGCTGAAAGGGTTGTTTGTTTTAATCAAGTTCATACAGCTTTATAGCTACTTTTTAAGAATATTTGACAATCTCTTCATTTAACCACCTAAAGAAGTCTCACATAAAAATTTCAGCATTTTTAATTATTTTTTCATTAAGTTTATCGGTACATTTTAGGTATACAATATGATATCATTCATCATTGGGATCTTGTACCTTTACATGATGTATCTTGATTCTTATGTTTTCCCCATTCCCCTGCCCTCCCTCCACCCCTTCCACCCTTCCCTACTTACAAAGACTTTGTTTCCATTTTTTCCTTTTCTCATATTTTTTTCTTTTCCCTTCTTTCCTTTCCCCTACACCTCCCACTTCCCCTACTCCTTTAGGCCTTTTCTTCCTATTTCACATTATCAATTATACATTTTTATCCTTATTTACAGTTTTAGTTTTTCACATCAGAGAAACTATTCAGTATTTACATGTGTGTCCTATTTATTTCACTTAAGAGTATGGACTCAAGGTGCATCCATTTGGCTATAAATGGCTCTAGTTTCTCGTTCTTAATGGCTGAGTGGTACTCAGCATTTTCAATTATTGAAAGCACCCACCATAGAAGAGGCACTAAATACCCACGTAAACAGAATAGCTCAATCAATTTAAGTTAGGTAACCTTCATCATTGATTATAGTAGAAATAGCACAATATAGACATGAAGGAGTGACCACACTTGCAGAAATGGAGGCTACATTCTAGACCAACAGCTTGGAAACTAACTTATCAGACCAATGTCACTACCTTGAAATATCCAATATGTCAATGACAAAAACCAGTGCTGACACCCAAATGTAGCATCAGCCTTGAAGAAAGCCCTAGTCACTCTTGGCTGACAATATCGGTCTTCTTCCATCCTGAAAGGGCCAACAATTGTTCCTTACAAAGAAATATAGGAGGCGTGATGGAAAAACACACCAGTGAATGTATAATTTTTTTTAATTTATAGTAAAAGACAGCTTGTCATTAATCCTCCTTAAGATACCCCCATTGCTTTGAAAACACTTGTCCCATAATTCCTTCCACTCTCTGAAGGAGTTCTGGAAGTCCCCTTTGATGTCTTTAGTTGTTCTGCCTCGATGTCCTGGATCAATTCAAAATGTTTACTATTCATGGTTATTTTGATTTGGGGGAAGAGCTACAAGGCACACCACACCAGATCCAGCACATAAGGTGGATAAGTACTCACCATAATGATTTTATGAGCCTGCTTGTCCATTGGATTGCACTTGGCAGTATCATTTACCATGGTTTTTTATCATACCTCATAAAGACACTCACCAAAGAGGACTTCCAAAACAGAGTCAAAAATGTCAAGAATGAAGGAATCAGTGAGTTCAAAGAAAGGAGTGTATTATGAGGGGGATTGACGGCCGTGTGTCTTTTACTGTAATTTTTTTATTTAAACATCCACATTATATTTTGATAGCCCATTCTACATATTCCAGATAAAGGTTTCCTTACTTTACAGAGCTTTGGCCAGCCTTTTCTTCCCACAGAGCTTCATCCAGTAGGTCTATTTAGAGATTCATAGATTGTTCAAGCCACAAGCATAGAATTCCACAGAAAGTAGCATCTGACTAATTCACTGAGGGAAAGGGGCATACTGTCAAAAAGCATCATGCCTCATAGAATAGCCACCCTACCAAAGGCAGAGGCGAGGCACCATCTCAGAAGAAATAGTCCACAGAGAAAGGGCACCATCCTTCAGGATGCATTGTGTGCATCCATTAAATCAGAGACCTCTATATGAGCTTCTCTAAAAGAGGAATTCATGGGGTTGGGAATCAGTGGAGAAGCCAGAGTTCCCCTACTTTCCATCATTTCCAGTGATCCACTCATTGGAGAATGATGTAAAATACCCATGTAGTGACTAGTTAGGACTTTCATAATATTTTCTGCTTTTTGCAAAATACTTATTATGAAGATATTCTGCTCCTTCCAACAAACAGTCCTAATGTCTACAATCGTGTATACCTTATAAGCTGTCTATTCAGCAGTGGTTATAGATATGAAATCAATGTTTCATGATTCCTTCTGGGAATCAGTGCAGGAGGCACAAGCTGCCAGCAGAAATACACAAACATTTTCTCATTCATAATTCGTTTTGAGCACTGACCCTAAAAATACCATCCCAGAGACAGGTTCCAATTTAGTTGTAATCAATTTATCACACATATTAGTCATTCTGAAGTAACAATAGCAGGATAACATTGTGGGATAAATTAAATATTGTTCATCATTTTAAGGCGCCAAATATAAAATAATTTTAACTGGAGTTGATTTAATATACACCAATAAAATATATTTTTTATGATTATTTCAGTACCATGTAGATTTTCTTTGAGCTTCGTAACAACCCTAGAAACTAGGTAGGACAAATTTTATTATACTCATTTTAATGATCAGGAAATGGAATACAAAAAAGTTGCTTGACTAATAGCAAGGAATAAAGCCATCAATGCTTGAATATATGTCTTTAGACTCATTTCTCTCTGAAGAAATTTTTTAAAAATACTTGGAATCAGAAACAGACTTTCATTCCAATTCTGTAACCACTAGCTATGAAAACATCAGCCACTGAATTGTCTAAACTTCAATTCAACATATTCTTATTTGCCACTAGAAAAAGATTTTTAAAACATACATGCATTGAATGAATCTATTATCCAATTATCTGTATATTTAAAATATACTAAGGCTCATCCTCTAAGTCATTTATTCATGATGTTTCTCTGAAACACGATGTTGCTCTCTATTTTCTTTCTGTAAGCAAGATGACTCTAGGTCTCCTGAGAATGTACTGTGGTGTGATCTGTCTTTCTACCAAAATCCCACTGTGAAAGTTGGAACAGCAACAGAGCACTATGCTATGAAGCTTTTAAAACAAGAGGCTCTTTTTTTTTAACTTTTTATCCTTTTACTCTTCCAAGGCATCCATGACCAATGATAGCATTTCCAAGTCAACATTATTTCACCCCATTCCCACTCTGACCACTTTGAACCTAAAAACCCTCAAATTTCTGGAGTTGTACTGACCTTGATAATACATTAAGCTTAGTCACACAGTTCTTTTCTTCCTTGCCTCTTCTCTTCTTTCCTTATTAACTAGTAGACTCTTCAACAATCTGTCATTCCCTGTGGAACATTGATCAATTTAACAAACACTCTAGAATGTCTGCTATGCTGGCAATACTACAGTGTTGAGAATAGAAAAATAGGTAGAACACAATATCTATATTTAAGGAGATTAGTTTATTCAGGGACAGAGATAATTAAAGGAATCATATTACTATAATTCAATACATACAGTGTTTAAAGATAAGCTCAAGGTGTTACGGAAACAGAAGAGGAACAATGAACAACTCTGAGGGTGGGAATCCTGTTAATGAAAGGCTATAAGAAGAAATGAAATCTGATCTTGCAGCATGAGTAGGAATTAGCAGGTGAAAGAGTGTTACAGGTGCAAAAATAATATAAATAATTGCATAAAAGCTTCAGTCCACAGGTTTTGTTCCATTTTCAAGCAGCTGAGTATTACAAACACATAAAAAGAGCTCAGCTTTGGACATGTGCGTGCAAGTTGGTTATGGGATGATTAAGTATAAATGTGTATTAGGAAGCTTAGAAGAAAAGTCAAGACGAAATATTTAGCAGTCACCAATTGTATAATAAGATGAAGAAAAAGCAGATGAGGTAAGGTGGTGGCAGAAAGCTGTTAATTTAAATAGAGTGGTTTGGAAGTTCTGTAGTTTGAAGGTGATTACTGAGCAGAGATTTTCAGTAAGAAAATGAGTCATGAGAATACCTTTGAAAAAAACTTTTTCTGGAAGAAGAAACAGCAAATGCAAAGGCCCTAAGGTAAGAGTGTACTTGGAATATTTAAGATGTAACAAGAGACCGTATGAATGAAGAAATTTAATCAAGAAAGAGAAAGAGAGGAAGTGATGTCAGAAATAATAACTAGAGGCTAGATCAAACCTTTGGGGCCGGGTATAGACTTTAGCTTTTACTCTGAATAATACTAGAAGTCATTAAAAGTTCATATGGGAAAAAATAATATGATTTATGTTCTAATAATCCTATTCTGGCTACTTTCTACAGAACCTACTCTTGGGGCAAAGGAAAGAAAACAGAAAGATGGGTTTTACAATGGCAAGGCAGTAGCATTATTTAAGGGGAAAATGATAGTAGAATAGAGTGCTAATAAGAAATGGAGCTCACAGGATATTCTGTTTTTGATAATTTGAGAAAAGATGAAATTGAAGTTCAAAACATAGTAAAATAACTCAAATAAGAAGGATCAATCAGTGAGAAAGCCAAAAACAAAAAAGGTAATAATGATGTTATAGGGCCCCCAAATGATATAAGGGAAATAATATAACTCCCAACCTGCTAGATGTCAGAAACTCCAAGTTCATGTTCCCCAAAATTGAAGAATGAATTCTAAGGAACAACAGAAGAGTAGGAAACACTTAACCAGGCATGATAGTGCACACCTGTAATCCCAGCACTCGGGAGGCTGAGGCAGGAGGATCACCGAGAGTTTGAGGCCAGCCTAGGCTACATAGTGAGTTCAAGGACAGCCTGAACTACACAGCAAGACCCTGCCTCAAAAACAAAAAAAAGAGTAGGAAATATTTATTGAGAGGGAGAGATTTGTTGTTGAACATGTTGCCAGTGACTTCACAGGGGGAGTTTCATACAGCAAAATCACAAGGCGGGTACAACATGGGACAAAATTATGATCAACCAATAAGATTATAAGTATAGCCACTTAGGTAATACTGATCCAAGGGGAAGCAAGTCACGAAGCAAGTGTACATGGAAAGAACAAAGAACTTTTTAGGAAGGGATAGATATGGAGGTCTTGATCACCCACTAGGGTGACCGATATCTATCTAGACTTCATTAGGCCAGGTGTTACCACTTATCCTCTGGGCCTGGTCATTTCCTCTTTATCTTGAGGCCTGGCCTCCAATCCGTGTGCCTTCAGCCACAGTTACAATGTGTTTTCATCTTCTGCACTGACTCCTTTGAGAGCCTAGCCCTGTCTGGCATCCTATAATATTTCTACCAACCATACCTGTCTAGAATAATAATACTCAAAACAAAGGAGATTTTATATATATATAATATATATATATAATATATATATATAGTTTAAAGAAGGCTAATGCAACAATATTGTCTAAACCAGTAGAGTGAAAAAATGCTGAAAACATCTGTTGGGTTTAACAACTTTTAAAGTCTTTATCCCTTGCCAAAGTAGTTCCAGTGGTATGGAAAGGAAGAGATCAGACCTGAAAGGGATGAAGAATGGAGGTAGGGGGTGGGGCTATGAGAAATGGCACTAAATGTCACCTGTCACAACTCAACAGAGGGGAATGAAAAGGGTTATACTCACTCAGTGTGTGGATTAAAGAGAAGGTTTAATCACTCATGGGATGGGATGTGATTCAGAGTCAAGAAAGAGCCACTGTAATATTTTCTACCTCAGGCTTTCAAGACAATCCAGAGGAATGGGTCAGTTCCACTTCCCAGTCACAAAAATTTAAATGTCAACTTTTTTGGGAATCTGGGTAAAGGAGAGAATTCTAGAATCATAAGTTAACTATCCATCAATTATATACCCAAAAGCATAATGGATTCAAAGTCACCAAATACATTCAAATACCTAAACTTTCTCAAGGGCAATGATACATGTATTAAAATTGTGTGGAATTTTATTCAACTATAATAATATTTGGCTTAATAACTTTACCTAAAAGGACAAGATCAAGCGTACCTTTACTAAGCAGATGGAAAAATGTTGTATAAAATCAGCATGCATCTTACTTTCACTTATTTAAATGAGATATGTGTGCATCAAAATACTCTTCAATTATAAATGTCTTAATAATATCTTAAATTTGTTTAACTCTATATAGAATATGAAATTTCCTTCTAGATTTCAATATATTAACTTGTATTTTGAAAACACTCTTCCATTGACAGCAAAAAATAATAGTCATAGACTGATAAAGTATGAAAAGTTTGAGGCTATCAAGTCCAAACAATCTCATTTACAAATGAGGAAACTGGAGCACAGAAAAGCATCCTGGTCAGGCTAGGTTTACATAAATCTGACAGAAGCAAGATGAAAATCTCTAATCCTGGATTTCAGTGGTTTCCTTTCCATTGCAGCAATCAGTAACTCTTTTAGTATTTCCTGAAAAGATGCTAGGCCACTACAACCAAAACAAAATAACTAAAATTTATTAGCCCCTTTTTGTATGGCTTTAATCATTGTTTAAACTCTGAATAGTATATACTTATTCAACTTATTCATTCAATATTCACATAAATTCTAACAGGCAGGTACTCCTATTATCTCACTTCACAGCTAAAGAAATTAACACATAGAGACACCAAGTATCTTTTAAAAAAAAAAAACTGGGAAATATTGGACAGGCATCCTAGGCTCCAGGCAATTTGGCTACTTCTTGATGCAAGATTAGCATTTCACAAGATTCAGCTGAAAAAAATATTGAAAAGCTTCTATAGGTAAGACATTTTCTTGGGAGTTGAATAAGATGTATACTACACAGACTCTTAAGATCTATCCAAAAATACAGATGTATATACCATTAACTTTAATATATAACCAAAATAAAGAAAAAAAGTACACAGAGGAGAAAATAATTTAGGGGTAGAGTGGAGCAAGAACATGAAAATAGCCAATTCCACTTTATAATCTGTTGGGATTTGTTTTGGACCTTATTTGTTATCAGCACAGTGCAGTAGATGTAGAAATAAGTCATTTTGATATTTTTATATAGCTTTTATCCAGTAACCTTTTATTTCTATATCATACTCAACACAGCCATTTCTAGATTTAGTTGGCACTCAAGTAATTATTTGATGTCCATGGTGCAGAGGGTGAAGAGAAATGTAGTAAATAAATCACCTGTACCAAACCTCTCAATACATCAAATCATCTTTACAAAAAGTTATCAAAGGCTCCAAAGTACCCATGAAATAATCCATTTACACTCACTGTCCACTTAAGCAGCAACCTCTAAATTTACGAGTCACCCACCTGCTGAAATGTCATATGACTTGCTGAGTATGATTTTTTTAGATGACCTTGCCCTGGGAAGAAAAGTGGAAATGGGAGTCAGAGTAAGGAAATGAACTCCTGCCAAATACATCACAGACTGTTCAACAGTCACACCCTCCTCAATGCAACATTCTTGACACATATGTATGGTATGATTTATTGAAGATCGGGGAATATATCTGGGATTATTGTTTAAGACCAAATCTTTTAGCTACTTAACAACTAAATTTAATCAAAATAGCTTATTTTCAACTGCCCAACCTGTATAATAAATTGTATATGTGATACAGATAATGGAGAAACCATTGTTTTCTCTTCATACTATAAGCAATACTATGGTAAAATAATATGCACAAATGGGAAAAATGAGGTCTAGTGGTGAAGAAAGTATTAACTTTCTCTTTGATTTCAGGAGCGGCTTGTTGGAATTCATATCTCCACAGTAGGCACAAAGTGCCACTTCAACTTTCTAATTGTTTTCTAAGTGTTGGACAATGGAAATGGGAGTTTGCATCCCCCTTTGTGTTCTTAACACAAAGAAAGTATACTGGAGAGTTTTTGGCATGTGCAGTTGGCCAAACTTCCCCAGAATCTTTCATAAATTAAAGCAAGTTTGAAACACCTCTTTAGATCAATGTGCAATAAACTCCCTCCATTCCCACATTGCAGTCATGACTTACATCTTATCTCTATGAGATATACACTTAAATACTTAATATTTTAGTTTAAATAGATCACTCTTTTTAGAAGTAAATTTTCTTTAGAAACACAGCTACTATCACTACTATAAATAAAAAACCAATGCCACATGTCATTTTAAAAAAGTCATAAATGTCTAGCTAGATGCCAACACCTGCTCTATGGACATATTAGCACCTTAAGTTCTATCTCATTACTGTAATTAAGTTTTTTCTCCTTACTCTAATTAGAAAAAAATGCAATTACAATTCTCTTTCTATGCAGCTCAGTATTATTGAATGTTTTTCTCATACACAGTACCTTCATATATCATCTTTCATCCACCCTAAAGTACACTGAGAAACACTGTTTTAAATGATCTAAAATTTCCTACATCCAAACTGGGCCCCTTTTAATTGGTTCAGAATAAGAGTTCAGTGACACTATTATTATTTACAGTCTTATCTGAGCTCTCCCAGGCCCCACCCTACCCAGGATAAATCTCTGCTGTGTTTTTTCTCAGAAGATTACTATACTTACTAATCTAGTTATCTGGAAACTGTTTCCCAGGTCCAACATCAGCTGCATAAGCTAGCAGTCAACATAACCTAATAGATTTCTGCTCTAATTCCTATCTCAACAACAACAATAATAATAAATAACACTAGTGGACACATATTCATATCTCTATTGGAATTTTTTTTAACTGTAATGCTCTGCTTTCAAAATTCACTCACATCTCACAAATAATGAGATGGCTGAAATAATCTGTCTTCTTTGCATTTCCACTGTCATGGACTTTAACAATCATTTTAACATGAATTATTTCCCTTCGTTCTCCATGTTAATAACTCTACAATCCACTTGGAAACAAAATTCATGTGTTCAGTTCTGGAGTAAATTACTCATTATAGTCTGCACAAACTAACTTTGGATATGATCATTTTCTTATCTACAATATCATTAAATTGCAAACTTCCCACATGATATATTTTCTACTAGAAAATAAACAATGCCACCATAATTCATTTGAAACTATAGAAAGAGCTATCTGACCTTATAAAGAAGTTTTAGCAATCAATTTAAGATGTTTTATACAATCTTTTCTGCTATCTCCTTCCCAATTATCCTATTTTAGTATATGTGCTGCCAAAGTGAGCACCCCAATTATCCTATTTTTACAAAATCAAATGTAACATTATTGAACACTAGTGACTTGGCACCAGTATAAAATAAGACTCAGTGGCCAGGATTCATTGCACCATACATACTTGTCATTTTTCACACAACCAAAATTCTGCCAGGATGTTTCCTAAATATTACATGTGGATTAAACAGCTTTTCACCCATCTGATGGACTTTAAAAGGCTCACCATGATTTTACTCACAGCTTTTTACTTACAAATGGGCAGGCCCTGATAACCCACCGAATCATCCAGGATATGAAACAAAAGACTTATACTGGTCATCGAGTAGCAAGTCCCTGACTGACCAAGCCATAAATGACCAAAGAGTACCCAGGAAGTGCACACAAAAAATGAACGGGAGGAGAAAGAACATCTTCAGCTAATGCCACAGTGAAACTAGCAGTTCTAAACTCAAACCTCAGCCTGACAGGCACAGAACTCAATCAAGGTGCAAGACACATTTAGAGAATTTAAACAGTCTTTGACTAACTAATGGTGCCTACATTTAACAGGGTCACTGACCTGAATAGAAAATAAAATATGCATGGTACTGAGATGATCTGAATATCAGCAATTCACTAAAATAGTCTCAAGCTGAGAGGTTTTTACATAAACAGTTGCAAGAGAGAAGCAATTAGATTATAAATACGGTCTTCTTGTGGTGAACTACTGCAGCAGCTCATCATATTTACCCAGGTATCTCTTTAAGGTCTTATTTGTGAAAGGTTGTGATAACACTGCAAAGAACTTTAAATTCATTTGGCTTTTGAGATTATCACTCTATTTAACCTTGAAAGCTTTTTGCATTTTCCCATGCCTTTGTTTGCTTTCAGGAATTTATCTTCATTTTACCTTTAATCCGTTTTATATCGCCTGCCTCATCTTTGATCCACAAGGTTCAACCTTTTATTTATTTTTTTACTCTGCAGTGTTCATAGTGTGTCAGGGTGAGAGCAGGGAGCCTCTTGTATATAAAATGGGCTACACAACATGATCATCTTTAAAAAGTTGTGCATTCTTATGTGTGTGTTGTATGATTAACCAATGAGAATTTTATGTGTTAGACTGAAAAACTGATACTCAAGTATACTTTTTCCATGTTAAGCATTTTTTAACCTGGGATTTTAATACTAATTTTGTCAGTTACAAGACCCTCAAGGTGACAGCATTTTTGTCTCAACAGGCCCAAACATTTCAGTATCATATCTTACAAAAATAAAAGCAAACACTTACACACTTTAAATAAAACCATGACACTAACATTGCAGTGACTGAATTACACATTTGTGTTGACTAGCAATAGTTTAGATCAGCTTTGCACACTCAGGGATGTATTTTATATTAGACATTGCAAACACATAATCTATGAGTTTTCCAAAGGCCTGAAAATAATCACATATCATTGGCTCTAAAACTTAAAAAATGAACCAGACATATTCAAATAATGCCTACAAAAATGTTAACTGCTATGTCAACTCATATATGAAAGTAATAAAATTTAAATTTAAGAGAAAAGGAAATAATTTATTCCAATAAAATAAAATTACCTTAAATTTTTACATCAAAAACAAATTTAATATGATGATTTTAATAGTTGCATTAGAATTAGAATTTATTTGATATAATAAGTGGAGTCTACAAAGAGTAAGCATGCTTTGGGAATATATTGTGATCACTACAGATCTTTATTCATGTGTCAGCAAAATAGTAATTACAGACTGCAAAACACTGAAAATTTTGTAAAGCAACAAAAATATCTGTAGAAGAACTAGTTATAGGATGAAAATTACTTTCTTGCAGACATTAAATCAGATAAATTGGTATTTTCCAGAAATCTTACCCAAGGAAAAGCAATCCCAGGAGCCTTGAGTCTTATTATAATTAGTCTTATTCCTATCTCATTTCTGAAAACAACGTGAGTAGAACAGCTGTACTCCAAGGTAATTAAAGATGGTTTATATATCTATGATCTTTTTTCCACAAATTTAAACTTGCCAAAGATAATCCATAGCAAGGATGCTCAGGAAATAAGCCCATACAATAGTAATTGCTTTATATTTGTTTAACGACTTAGAGTGTGTAATAATGACACTCGCATATTTCTTACCTGAGAAAAATCAGCAGAGAATTCTCAATGGAATGTCATGGGCTTTTAAGAGTCAGATTTATAAACTACCTTATATCAAACCACCACATCCTATTACAGTTCCACACCTTACTGAAGACCCAATATAAATGTGGACTTGAAATCAGGCACCTCAGTGTTACAAGCCAGTCTGTTTTTTCACAGTAACAATTCCATGGAAAGAAACTGCTCTCACTTCCTAACAGGTTTGAGACACTGAAATGTTACTGCTTCTCTTCAATAATTTTCCATCAAATGTGCAAGATACATCTTGACAGTGAAACATGGCTTCTCATTTACCTCTTCAAAAAGATTGAAATATTCCTTCTCTATAACAGGACATTCATTTCACTTAAATAAAGTCAGGGTTGCTCTCAGGCTTCATTTCTTTTTCCAGGTACTCCTCATTTTAAAAAAAAATCCTTAGCTCACAGGATCTAAGAAGGATGTTTCTTTTTAACATGATACCTATATCTGAAAATGATATGCTATTTGAATTGTCCTGAGTCAGCCATATTTATGGCTAGCTTTCCTGATGACCACCTGTCTAGCCACAGAGGGTACAAACTGAAATTATAGACATAATTTAAAACCATGCACAGAGTATATGGATTACTGAATCAGTGCATGTGAGGCCTACTGGGACTGAAAGTTTTTAATTAAAGTAAAACAATCCTTATAGTAGAAATGGAAACAATTTAAACAGTTGAAATCACAAGTATGAACAGGTATGAAGTGTCACAACTCCACCCACTACTACCAGAGGAGTTATTCCACCTCAACGTGAATACAAAGCCCAACTCACTTAGGAATTGATCTGAAGGGTGTTAGACATGAAGTTCATTCTGACCTGCAAGTCCCCGTCTAAAAATTCATCTTTGTCAAAGACAGCGTGGTTCCATTTTCCCTGCTTTCCCACCTGCTTAAGTTACGAAGTCCTCTGTACCTCAGGGCAGGGTTAAGGAGACATCCACAATAAAGTGCTTCTTTGCTAACAAGTGTTCATTAACTTTACAACCCATGATGTGAACAAAGTAATTCC